TATATATATATATATATATATATATATATAATTGAGATATTTATTTATATACGAGACCTTTAAGGCTTTCGATATTTTGAAATGATGATGTTTGTGGGGCCCACTGGGATTTTCTTAGGTTTTCAATGCAATAGGCCTCAAAAATCAACTTTTGATGGTTGAATAAGGCTTTAATGATATAGATTAATGAAATTAATTACTTTATATGATTCATATAATTCAAAATTTGGACACGTGTTTTCATTCGATTGGTGCTGGCTGGTTGTTATTATTATTTCCGTTAAATGAATTTAAGCCATTAAGTTTAAGACTGTAATTTAACTTAATCTATATGCAAAATTTTATATTAAGGGCAGGGTTAGTTATCTAATATTGTTATTTGTCAATCGAAAGGAAGTAATAGTTTTGTTTTGGAAATAAATTATAATAAACAATGACATCTATATGAAAATTAGATAAATAAGATATATGTGCAATTTGATGATTGGGAGGGGAGTATTTGCAATAAGTTTTTGAATATCGATCATTAATTTTTTTTGATGAAAATTAATATCTTAATACATTCGCTATGGGCTTCATTTTCCATAAATATGATAAGTGCCACATGGAAAAAAAATTCCATTTAGTTTATTTTGATTTTTTTAAAAAAATCCATTTAGTCTATTGTTAACTTTTTTAAGGACTAAAGTGCTAAAATAGTCTCCAATTATTTACATGGAATCGGTTTTGGTTTGGGTGGAGGGTAATCAAGCATTTCATAATACGTCTCTTGCTCGAACATCGCAAGAGATGGAGTAGGATAATCTTCAAGAGGAATGTATCTCCTCAAGATAGGGTGTTTATAACCAGGCTCAATTGTAACATTTCCTTCATAGTCTTCGTTGTCATCATTAATGGAGTTATTATTAGATTCCTCATTCAAAATATCATTACCAAGGTTGTCCTCTTCACCAAGGAATCAATATAATCTAAGTAGGATCATTCTTAGTTTTTGTTCATGAAATTTTAACATCCTGAGTTAAGAAGGTAAGAATACTCCTTAACGTCCTTACCAGCTTATGCATGCTTACTTCTGGGTTTATGATTTTTGAGGCCGAACACTGTTGGTTATTGAGTTAAGATCTACAAATGAATATTAATCAGGACGCTGTCCTTTCATCGTTTAAGTCTAATAGCCTATAGAATTGTCAAAATAATTCCTCTTACATATAGATGATTGGACTACATTACTCTGTCTAAATGTGAAATACACATTTCATGCCTAAGTTTTGGCACCAAAATTTTATAAAGAAAAATATTAATTTTTAGGCGTCAGATGTGTAAATATGTAAGAAGTGTGTGGTGTGTATGTAAATTTCCCAATTTTAGGTTTATTTAGGTCAAATTTGTGTGCATGTTCAACGCTTTAAGTGAGAGAGAGGTGGAAATAATGCTTTGCCACAATTGATTGATTGAAGAAAAGTCATTCCTAAGTAATGGTAGAAGTAAATTACAACAAATCGAATATTTTGCCATTTAAAAATTTCTATAAATTAAATTGTGTCGCATCAATTATTTGTGTGTGTTCGTTTAAAATAAACAAATTTATCATGCAAAAAATAAATTATTTTATTTTAAAAACAAAAAATAACTATATATTTATGTGTGTGAGTGTGTCAAATAACTTTATTTTAAAAAATAAAAATTTTAAAAACAAAATTAATCTTAAAATGGCACTTAGATTATTCTCACTAAATATTTATGTTTGAATGCGATATTGACAATATATTTCACTCATTTGGTTTTGTAATATCACAATATCTTGGGCATATACATGCATGCATCTTTGCCCACATTTCAATGAAAACCAATCTCAATGGCTTCTAGGGTCTGCTTGAGGGCATCTGGAGCTGTTTGAAAAAACAATTGTGAAAACTGTTGTATAAAAAATCGTTGTTTATAAAGCTATATCTGTCATCAAAATTTTTTTTATTTCAGAAAGTTAGACCGCTGCTTCCTATCAACCATCACAATCAGCTAGGTTAGACTGCAAAACACAATTTTCTCACTCATTTTTTTTCCTATTTATGATAAATAAATTACAAATACTAATATTAGAATTACAAATTCACCCTAACATGAATCCATATGATACATAGCCCCCTAAATCACTAATAATTTCTTTGAAGTAGGCAACAAGGCTTGTGTGAGCTCAGCCATGGTCTAATACCAGTTCCATTTCCCTTTCCTTTTCAACACTGTTTGCACGCTCTAAAAATAGTGGTTCACCCAACCCTCCCCCCCTTCTGATTCAGTTAGAACACCAACTCTATTTCCATTTTCTTATTATTTTTTTCTTGACTTTCTTAGCTGCTGTTCTCATGACTCGCGTTTTATGGTGGACCAGCAGCTGTATTGCAATTATAATTTTTTAACCTCCACCAATACAATCAAGCCACGTAATATTCGGTGCTTGCTTATCCTGTCCCGCAGCTACAATCGGTGGCTGACGTGACACGGCTGAGACCCAGGTGAAGTTAGTGCAGTTGAGTGGATCCAGAAATAAATTATTAGTATAAAAATTTTAATTTTTTACATTTATGCACCTTATTTTATGAATGAAAAAAAATGATTTTTTATTATAAAATTTGAAGGTTAGAAATATAAAAAATTAAATTTTATGTGTGAGTGGTTTATGTGGTACTAGTGTGTACGTAAATGTCCTTTTTTATTGTCCGAGCAGTGCAATTTACCATGCCATTAAAATTATTATTTTTAAATAATATTACTCTTTTTGGGTTCATGGTTTACTTATTTAAGAACTAAAAAATTATATATATAT